TTTTTAATTAAAATCTTTACCCCATGAGCATATTGCGAAAAATGGCCGTTTTCATTGACAAGCCTCCTGTAACAAGTTCAAACTGCTATGAAACTATGAAAAATGCTTCAATACTAATGAAAACTTGGCACAAATGTTGACTACACCATAGCCTCTGTAACAGCATGCTCAATGGTAAATTTCCTGTAACCATGGCAACGGGGACGTCTCAAATTGCCAAAAATCACTATTTTTGCATTGTTTTTTCCATCAAAACTGATTTCAAAGTGCTGCAACTTCTCAATGGATTGACATAGAGTAAAAGCTTTTTTCAGCGTAGGTTTACTTGTTACCCTAAGATCAACCTGAGGCCATTTTTAGCCTGTCACATGTCCAAAATTTTCTTGGCGATGAGGGGGACTCCGCCCCCCTTCAAACCCCCCAAACAGAAGGGGGGCACATCCCCCTTCTGGCAACCCCCTGATGTAATATTTGGATGGGGGACGGCGCCAAAAAAGTGGTCACTTTTTTAACCAACATTTCTCAAACGAAAAACAGTGTTGGGGGCCTAAATAGGGCATTTTTTCACTGTTTGAGGCCTCAAAAAGGGGGGGGCAAAAAGCCGTCGAAACACGCTTATATAAGGGAAAAGGTTAAAGTTACATTTAATAAATTTCATAAAAAACTAAATAGCGACATTTCATTAATAAATTGGGTTTTATATCGACTCCAGGTCTTATTTTGGTGTCCGAACAACCAAAATAAGTTTAATTAGCATAAAAATAGGTAACCTCATTGTGGCAAAATTTGAAGTACAATTTCTGTTTGCATGAGAAACTCCGCCTTCGGATCATCCGTACATCAATATTAAATCAACAAACATGACTATAAGTGGCAGTCATAATTTAACGGTATATTTCCGCATTGTAACGGATGTTTTCATACAAATATAATCTTTTTACGAGATGATTACTTTTACTGAACCCCTGGTTAGTGCACCGTGAAGCTAAAACGGTAAAAGTGTGTTTGCACAAGAAAATATCACATTTGCTGTGTTCCGGATAGCAACTATAAAACTGTGACGTAGCGCATACACGAGCTCATTATAGTCTTTCATTTTGCATGTTAAAATTCGTATACGAACTTTAAGTGTTACCGTGGGTTTCCCGTTTAAAATCCTAATTTATGAACAATATTTGATGAGATTTACAACAATACTATTAACAGGTTAATGAAACTGTAGATGTTTGATTTTTTAGGCCGACGGCAAAATATTTTTACATATTTATTTATGTAACTTTAACCTTGCCACGTGCTGATCTACAGATATTTGTGATTGATACATGCTTATTAATTGGTACCACGTAACAAAGTATTTTAGTGCATTTACTTGTCTATAAAGGAAAGGAATGATTTCGCTGCGAAAAAGGGGAAATGAAATGTTCACACTTGTTTACCTTCAGTATCCGTTAGTATTTTTACGATTGATCATTTTCTTTATTGTTTTATACAATAGAGAATAGATTTCAAATTGTTTTGGACAAAAAATATTTGGTTTTCCAAAAAAAAAAAACAAACAAAAAAAAAACTAAATAAACCTTTATGATATACAAATACCGTAATTCAAAAAAAATGTCATAATAAATTGAAACCAAAAAAAAAAAAAATTTTAAGGGTTGGGATGAAGGCACGACTTGTGTGCCAAGCCTTTCCTTTTAAAGGAACTTTATTTGTTTTGTTTTCAAAAAGTGTGTGTGTGTTTTAAGTTTAATTTACACTCGGAGCGCCGGAATAACCATATGTCCGAGATTATAGCATCGGGGACGTCTTTTTCAAGCAGAATCTTCGTTTCATTCTCTCGTTTGTTGGTGGTAAAGGAGACGACAATACTGTCAAGGCATCAACTCCGACTGACGACAACAAAAACGGCATTTATTAGCGCCAAACCTCCAGAGTAAGTCACGACAGGTCAAACCAATCACCTCTGGTACTTATGATGACTTGACCATGACCTTTTCCGTGTGGCTTCTCCGCGACGTGCACGCCTCTAGATCTGGAGGGATTTGGAGAAGTTTCAACAAAAACTCTTTATACGCCCTCTTTGCTAAACTGAAGAAACAAATGACGGTACAAAATTAAAAAAAAATCTCCTTAAAATCAACATGAGTTATAAAATTCCATGATAATAAGATACGAATACATATAAGATCAGCCTATTTATAAATTCTAAGCCTAAAAAAATAAAGAAAAAATGGACAATAACGAATATTGATATGTCATGATTAGAAATAGTAAAAACAACTTGACGACATGTATTATTGACGAAGAAAATTCATAAGAGACAAAATTGTATTTGCAGATATTTGTTATGATAACTCTAGAGAATGGCAAGGTACCGTATCTAGGACGTTCACAGGAAAGCGGTGCTTACCCTGGGCAAATGTTACGGCGATGCAGACGAGCAGCACAATCGCTGATTATCCTGATGGTCCAGCAGAGAATGCTTCAAACTTTTGCAGGGATCCAACTAATAAATCCTTTCTTTGGTGTTACGTCAGTCAAGATGAAATCGAACAGTGTGATATTCCAAAATGCATTGGTTTGTATACATCAATAGTTGCCAAAAAAAACAACAACAACACGGCTAAATGTCTTGGTTAGTATACATCAATAGTTGCCAAAAAACAACATGGCTAGTATACATCAAGAGTTGCCAAAAACAACATGGCTAAATGTCAAATCTTCGGCATTTGTGTTTAAAAAATGAGTTGAGGCATGTCCATTACAGAAGTTGGAAAAGCGTATCAGAGAATATATTATTGTTTATTCATATCCAGCTTCACACGGCGCTAGAGGGCGTGTGTGTTAATTTGCATTTACCAATAGCGAACATTAACAAACTCGGTCAAAATAAGCCTGAAAAAATATATTAAAATTTGCGCTGTAATGTACCTTTAAGGTTTTACATATTTTATGATAAACTATCATAACTACTTTATCTTCTACAATGTCATCTTGCTAGATCACGTTGACCGCGGGCAATTCTGTTATTGAATATTTGTTCTAATTTTAGCGGAAGACAGTGTATATCCTTGCATGTCGTTCAGAAAGTCTGGGGGCATATTTTACTTCACTCAAGAAAACTGTGATAAAACAAATGCGGCAGTATGCGAAACGTCTGGTCAGTATATATAGTGGTTGAATTTGTAAAATGATTTATCAGTCAGAAATGGTTTTATACTTAAATATATGAAAGTAGGCTTAACTCATTGTACATATCACAAAACAAAATATTTCTGTTAATGAGAAGATTATGATTTTAGGTGCCTTCTAACTCTAAAAGTATAAAATTTGTCCATTTAGTCATGTAGTGACATTTGTTTCGACTGTTATATTTATCAAAGAAAGAACAACTTTATATTAGATTCAGGCTGTTTTTCATTAATTTTTTTAAACTGTATTAAAAAGTAAAACACGATCAAGCTAAAACCAACAAATAATATAAGAATCTTACACTGGCTGCCGGTACAGACCGGAATATCTAGCTCGAGATTAACTGTTTACGGCGGTAACGAGGCTCTGCCGAGTTTCCGCTAGACAGTATGGTTACCCGAAAGCTAGATACATGTATTCCCGTCTGTACCGACAGCCGGTGTTTGATTCTTTTTCTTGCACATTACATATCTTTTTTTTCAGAACAGAAATTACGAAAACTGATATTCTCATTATGCTATGTTCTCACCGCCGATCAGATCAACTCGATCGTCCCGATCACATTAATTCCCCGATGAATCCCGACCAAGCTGGATTAAAGCTGGATTAAATGCACATTCACGACTCCAACACGACGTCAAGTCGACCCTACACGATGTTTTACGACTTCTTCTCGACGACAACCCGACCAACATCCCGACTTCTTCTCGATCACCCAGACCTATACGCGAGTCATACACGATCTCAACTAGACTAACTGGACCTCTGCTCGATCTTTGCCAGATTTCCGCCAGACCAGATCGATGATCGTGTACATATCGTGTAAGAGATGTATACTCGACCAAACTAGATCTTTACACGATTTATTCTCGATCAACTAGATCTTCTACTCGATCACTATACGATCGCTTCTCGACCGCTTATCTACTCGATCGCTACTCGAATTTTTTAGACATGTCAAAAATATTCGGGTAGGAAGCCCGAGCCATGCCGACCAAGGTAGACCGCTCCGACCACCCCCGATCACGCATGTAGACCGAGCTAGACCGGTACCCGATCGCCTGATCGAGTTAATCTGATCGGCGGTGAGAACACAGCATTACGCACCTACTTACAACTTCATTCATAACGATAAAATGACGTCATCCAAAGACCGCAATTCATTCTTAAAAGGCGCGCGGCAATGACGTCATTTAAAGCTTGCGACTTGTCTTACATGGGGGTGTAACACAGACAGGGTTTTCTAGCACCGGTGTAAACGGTAAATAATCCTGTCTGATATGCAAGAATTAACGTTGCAAACGGCGCTTAAAATCTGCCAAACTTGCACACACAAAAAAATAGGTCAGAATGATATAATATGAAAATAGCCCTAATTGGGTAAAATATGGTTGTAAATATTGCAAAATCATTATAACTTATTTATACATGTATACATCTATATTTTTACCCTTTTTTAATTTTAGTAAATTTGTCTTTAGTTTGTAGAATTTTATATAGGACTTGTCCTGTTTTCGAGTATAAACAGGGATTTCTGTTTCAAAATACTGGAAATAAGTAGCCCCTGGTCACACTGTATCCACAGACACTTGGGGTTTGGAGCTCAAAACGCCTTTAAAATCCAAATAAAATGCATATTTGTCAATCCCAGCACATGTACTGAGCATATATATCAAAAAAACTTAATATAAGCCGTTTTGAAAAAAATTCATATTTCAACATCTATAATAAAAATAATAGATGTTGAAATATGAATTTTTTTTCAAAACGGCTTATATTAAGTTTTTTGATATATATGATCAGTACATGTGCTGGGATTGACAAATATGCATTTTATTTGGATTTTAAAGGCGTTTTGAGCTCCAAACCCCAAGTGTATGTGACTGTATCGACAATACCATTTAAAAAAGGACAACCGATACGAAATAAATATGATTCGTACTCTAAACTTTTCGTGTTTTTTTTTCTCGTATATTTTAGATCACAAACATCTCTTGGATCGTAACATACGAACATGGTCTGATGCCAGAGATCAAAACAGACACGCCTATTACAGAGATTCCGGCGTGTCTTACTACTGCTTCATGCTGGCCGGTCCGGGTATTTTCCGTCTGAAAACAAACTTGCAGGATTTTTGGACATGGTTTGCGTATTCTCGAAACATCTGCAGTGTTTCCACAATAGGTAATGCTGGGTGACATAATTATGTAATATTCGTTAAACGAATAAGGACAAGGTTAGCTTTTAAAAAAGCTAGTAGCGACTCGCTTCGTAATTTTTTTTCCAGGGGTGTGTTTAAATGTAAAAATGACAGTTCTGTTAGCTGAAGAGACTTCAGCGAACATCAAAATAAAAGTGACATATAAAGTTATGGAAGCCAGTTCTCTCAGTTTAACAAATAGTAATATGAGTATATATGAAGATGCATGTAAACAGATAGAATGAAGTCCCTATGTCTATGCACATTTACTATATGGCCTGTTGACCTTGACCAAAAAAATGTTAGATAGGTAGAATTCATAAAGATGTCTCTTTATACGAAGTTAAGTTGTAAAAAATTGGGTGCGGGCGAATTTAGATTCATGGGGCATGATTAACATTTGATTTGTACAAGTTCTCAAGGCATTGGTACATATTCAATATTAAAGCTGGAGGCATTGGAGTTTATATCAATAAGACTTAAACATATTTTCCCTAAGCATTTTAATAAAAATTATGTCCACTTCATCTTGGTATGTGAAACATTTTAAACAAATGGATATGATGTAGATACATGAACAAAATTTTTAAGTGGTCAACAAGGCAATACCACATGCCAAAAAAATTAAGGTTTAGGTGTTAATAAGGTATAAACTTAAGGTGTGCATATGTGTTTCTATATAAGACGTGTCCTTGACCTATGTGCTAAACAATATGAACAACTATGACAGAGGACACCTGTAGTGTGGTTAATGTGCAGTCTTTGGTTTCATAGATATCATTTAAAGAGAAACTAAATTACACATTATAGGGACAACAGATGAATAGGGATCCCAATTCCTGTTTATGCTCACCAGAGCACAACTTGCTCATAGTGAGCATAAAAGGGAATTATATTGTAAGAGGGCTTGGTCTCCTGTACAAAGATTCAACGACAATAATCAACACAAATATAGTTTATTTCTTTTCTCTATATATCTAATACTATCCCGGGCGTCCCGGATCCCGGGATTTTCTCCCACCCTAAATACCGGAAAGAATAAAATGACCGAAAAAAAGAAAAAGAAAAAAATGCACAGAACCAGATGTACACTTATGTAAATTAACCAAACGAAAACTTACTACAGAGAAAACAGGTAAAATCGCTAAATCAAAAGTCAGTGTAAATATGCTTTATTGAAAAGAATTCATGAAATCAAACATTTTAATCATCATTTTATCTTTGCGCTGAAATCAATACTTGCTGCTTTTTAAAATTGGCGTGAAAATTGAAGGTTTTTTTACGCTGTGTAAGATTAAATTTGATTGGCTAAATAATTCTGGATTCCAGCCCTGACAGATAAGTTTTGTAGAGCTGGAAGCCAAGCTTCGATTAAATTTTTGGATGGATTCGGAGTTTTAGGTTGTTTCTCAGTAAAATCCTAACGTAATACCGGCTCGCCGTGGCGAGCCGGCAAAACGTAAATTGTTTAAGGCTTTAAGTTTTAATTAACATTTTTATTAATATCATGACAAAGTTCTGTGTTATATTTATCCGTGACATATGGTGTTTTAATTTTTATTTAAGTTCCTAGTCGGGAACCACGTCAATGTTTCGGAATGTTTTATTACGATGGGTATATAAGATCTACAATCAAGAGCTGTGACGAACAGAAGTCATTCGTATGTCAATATGGTAATAATTATTTTAATTTTGGTTGTGTTCTAAGTCACAACTTAAGACATTGTAAACGCACGTGTTGTAAATGTTATATGGCGAGTTTCCTGCTTTATTTATGAGGGGAGTACCTCAGGTGACCCACCTTGCTTTATTATAACCAGCGTGGAACACCGCATGAATGTAACAACTTAATCATATGAGAATACCATTTTACTTAAATGTGTTCAAGGCAAATAAAAACATAATTGATTAGAGTAATGAATATGTACTTTTATTCACGCTTCGTATATAATAAGTGAAAAACGGAACAGTCTCTTACAAATGAAAAGCGTGCCTCTTAGTCATTGTTAAAATATTGTGTGTCTGTAATAAAGAAGTAGAATTATCATAAGTATGTATTTATCAGTCATCTATTTTGTTTATCCAAAAACATAAAAAACATCAGCATCAACCTTATGTGTTTTCTATATTTCAGAGAAGGTCACATGCGGTGAAAAGTTTAACATGTCGTTGAATGGTAGCCTTGTAACACCTGGTTACATGGGGAGAGGATATGACCATTATGGACGATGTGTCTGGACAATTTCTGTACCGAAAGATCATAATATACAGCTCTCAATGAATATATCCATAGAAAATACTTATATGTGTAGAAGCGACTTTCTTAGGGTAAGGGAAATGATACAGCCAATAGTCAGTACGAGGCATAAAGAAACTGTGATATTATTTATAATAGCCAGATTTTAAATCACAAGGAAAATTTTAATGGCCGTACGGCGACTTTCTAATCTTTACTGGTCTATTATTTGAATTTATTTCATAACCAAGGTGAAAGCCGAGAAAAATCGCCGACGTTCGGTAAATTAGCTAAAATACTAAGCATCCTCATATTAAAGAATTAAAAGGCCCTTGTGGGATTCGTACCTACAGCCGTGAAGGGGAAGTGATTTAGTCCATTGTCTTCAAACTCGTAACTGAATGTCTTCAAACTCATAACTGAAATATGTAAAAAAAACTAATCTAGACTTTTTTCATATTACATGTAAAAGACAATATAAATTCACCATTTAATTTATTGAACTTGTATGTTCGGTGTATAGATATTGTTCCCATACACGTTTTATGATATCACATACAGGTTCCCATACACGTTTTATGATATCATATTATGCAAGTTCCCATACACGTTTTATGATATCACATACAGGTTCCCATACACGTTTTATGATATCACATACAGGTTCCCATACACGTTTTATGATATCACATACAGGTCTTTAGAGGTAACTTTAGCAATGGGATTTCTCTATGTGGCAATGTAACGGATGTTCTTAATATTGCAAGCAGCAATGTTACCATAGAATTCCGGTCAGATGGAACCATCAACGGTAAAGGAGTATATATAACATGGGAGGCAGGTATGGTACAGCTTGTCAAAACATACTTATTTTCTTTATATATAGTAACGTTTCCAAGACACACAAATCCTGTCGGTGAAAAGCTAGCTCACCACCAAGAGCGGTTTATGTCATATATGGAAACATTCCCTTATGTTAATTCACCAACTTAAGTTTTTGTATATTATTAGCACAGGGGTGGAACCCCATATGTATCTCAAAAATGAGCATCGGTAAAAATTATATGTGAATTTCCGCTGCACCAGATGTGAAGCATAACACCAGATGTGACTGTAAAAATAGGTCAATCGCAGGGTAAGTTTTCATCTTTTTAAACATTTATATAAAATTCAGTCCTTTTTTTAAGAAAATTGAAATGTGATTCTACCCTCTGACTCTCCTCTATATTACCCATTTTTGTTTTGGATTTCTATGCAATCTTCATCGAGATATTCTTTCCGTCGTGGGTTCTGGTGTGACCAAAACATGCAATGTGAATGAAGAAAATGTTACTAAATGGACTCAAAAAACTCATTCACATTGCATGTTTTGGACACACCAGAACCCACGACGGAAAGAATATCATAGAAATCCAAAACAAAAATGGGTAATATAGAGGAGAGTCAGGAGGGTAGAATCACATTTCGATTTTCTTATAAAAGGATTGAATTTTATATAAATGTTTAAAAAGATGAAAACTTGCCCTGCGATTGACCTATTTTTACAGTCACATCTGGTGTTATGCTTCACACCTGGTGCAGCGGAAATTCACATATAATTTTTACCGATGCTCATTTTTGAGATACATATGGGGTTTCACCCCCGTGATTATGCTATATGACGTTCTACCAACGTCGTTACAATATTATGCTTCCTTAATACATGTAAACATCATACTATACGTGTTTCTATCGCCTACATGTACTTTAAGAGAATATTTACGCTCATGAAGGTGCCTGTTGAACCGCATTATTTACACAAACGAAATTTTCGCAAAAGTGAAAAATCCTAAGGAATTCCGCAAAGGTCTGACAAGTACGTACAAAAATGTCACCATTGTTCGTACCTTATTTTGGACTTCATAGTCCAAACGGAATTTTCACATCCATCTTCCTTTTTGTACTGAAGGGTAATACAACTGATACGAGCTAAAAGTCGGGTGTTTTTTATCTAACCACTGTAGGAAAATTAATTGTACATTCATGATCTATCAATAAAATCGGGAAAACAGCTAAAATATTAAAATTTAAACAAGGAAATGTTACAATGACAATAGCTCGAAAATGCTGATATAATTATACAATTCACCAAACTAACTTATATCGAACTTGCTTAAAAATCGTTGTTTCGAAATCGACATTTTGAAAAGGCGAATACCGTACCAGGAACAAATGTAAAGCAGTTTGAGATCGATATTCAAAATTCTATGAAGCAATCGAATATCAAACTGTCATCTAGTTCACAGTCAACTGTGATATAATATTTAAAATTATTAAATGCGAATATTGTGTTTGCCTCAGAGTCAGCAATGAGATTGATCGTCAGAATTTAATAAACGAAGTAACACTGAGCTAGCTTTGAAAAGCCTGGTGTGGGATTGCTATTAAAAATTCTTAAAATGCAAATATCATTGTAGCCTCGAATTCAGCGCTAGCTAGTTCAAAGATCGAAATTCAAAATTAATTGAATGAGCGATTATTGTTTAATAGTTCTAACGGCGATATTTAAATTCATTCTTAAATTGCTAGCTCTGATTTCAATGCTAACTGTATAATGAATATGTTACATAACTTTTATCTTGCTTGAGTTCTGTTCCATGCTAACTTTAGATACCAGGCATGCTTGAAATTGTGTCTAATGAGTTTTTGATATTGGCCTCAAAACTGGCTCCAAGTATGATACAGCGTTATATTCCTCATACTCTGATAAACTTCACATCTTCTATCTTAAAGCGCACCATTATTTTTAGTCAGATTTTGTACGTCTTTAACCTATTGAATTTCCATCTCGGTTAAATGATAGCTCGATATCTGCTCGATCTTATAATAGTTCTGGATTCGAAGGTATACTAGTATGCCTTTAAGATTTTCAATTTTCAAGACAGAGCTGTCACTGAATTCGAGACCAGCATTTGCTCTTAAAGATATTTCCAGTTTGTCAGTTGAAGCTTGCAATCTTCTCTGAATTGAAAAAAATATCTCGCAGACAAATAAAATATTTCTGAAAACTAAATTAATGACGTTACTAAGGATACTTTTTGAATCTTAAACACTTGGAATCTCTCAAAAATCCGCAATACTTTGATTGCTGCATAAAGAAATGTTACATTTTTACTTAACGTGACCGTGACCTCTGATTTAATTTATTTGATATTTCTTGCCCTCTTACAAAACACTGGGGCTCTAGCAGGCAAAGCGAATTACTGTTTTCCTGGACCGTGGCATAAAAATTGTGGCATTTATGTATGGAATTCAGAGCTGCATTACTGGTACTGGTACTGCAGTACGTACTGCAATGATTTTGGTACTGGTACTGATACTGAATTACTCTTACAAAATGTTGCTACTACTGGTACTGGTACTGCTTTACTATCTTGAAAATTGGTACTGCTACTGCAATACGAGGCAGTACTTTGGTTTTGATAAAAATGTCATCAGTTTTTCTTAAAAAGTGAAAAAGTAAATCCCATGTATTATTTTTTGTGTGTGTGAAAATAAAAGTTTTCTTATCTTACTCATAACTATAGAAAACAAGTTATAAGAATTTAAGAAATTGAATTGCATGAAAATTTAGCTTAGAAAAATCATAATGCATAAATGAATTATGTATTAATTTTTGCTGTAGTTTGTAACTGTTAAAATAAATCAGTTCATCAGTAAGGGATCTGGTACTGGTAATGGTACTGCATAACTTGGCAAGTATTGGTACTGGCACTTAAGTACTACACCCAAAGTACTGATGCAGCTCTAATGGATATAGTTATTACATTTGCTTTTCTACTTTTTATGGCATATGAAAACGTCCGTTTCTGTTGTGAATGAGTATGTAGAACAAAATATTTTTTTTAAATGTGACCATCTTTCATATTTATCACACAATGTGTACGTATTTTACACCCGTGTGAACAAATAGTGTGTGTGAAATTTGCGGTTCAGTAGGTGGACTAGCCCTACACTTAGTTGTTGTTTTTGAGTGCATCAGCCCTACGATATAACTTATATTTGAAATGTCAATAAAATACATAATTATGTGTATAGAGCCTACCAGACAATACGAGTGTTCAAACAAGCCTGGCACTATACAAATGATACAATCATTTCAATTATAACCGTCGCTAGAACTAGAAAGATTTAAGCATTTAATATAATTATCATCACCTTATAACTCAGTATAAATACTCCAATTTGAAAATCGATTTATTGTTGAATAAAAATGTATATATTTCGTTTCAGTTCCCTTTGTATCCGAGGTAACCAATTCGATAACTCGTGAAATATCCACGATTTTAACGCCATACTCAACTACTTTTGACATATTAATTACCAAAGATTCAAATGGTCACGAAAACAGATTTTTACTAGCCGGGATACCGGGTACTTGAAATTATTCTATCACCTATTCAAGTTTTAATGTTCTCTTATCTTCGAATAAATAAAGTTTTTTTAAGACAAAATGATTATATTCGCATTGTTTAAAAGTTATCATTATTGTACATGCAATCTTTTTTATAGTTTGTGGTGTAACGTAGTTTAATGATTAGCATGTTTATTTGCCAATCTATAATAATTATAAACTTTAAAATATGTTGTTTTTTTCAAAACAGCTAATATTAAGATTTATTGGATACATGATAGGATTGACAAATATACATTTTGAGCTCCACGCTCCAACTGTATGTGCATAAGTACCTGAATAGGATTCGCTTTTCATTTTCCATTTTTGGCAGGGAGAAGAAATGGGATATGTTTAATTCACTCATTCTCACTTAAGTACGACATTCCATGTCTTCAATGTTCTATGAAAATTTGTGGAGATATATAAGCCCGAACATTCTTGTAAAATGTTTTAACAATTGGTACTGCATCAAAGATTTAATTTGAGCGCAAGTTTACTAGCCTATTGGTTTGATTTTGCTAGTGACAATTGCTTTTGCAAGGAAGGGGTATTCAAAACAGCATGTCTTCAACTAAATCGAAGTATGTTTCATTGCACGTATCTTCGTACAAAAAGTCGTGGTTAACAGTAACTACAGCTTATTTCCGTTATTCTATTGCAGATTTTGACATATAAAACTGTTTTTGATATTACGAAAATTAATTTTCTCAAAATCAAATTTGAATTGCTTGTCTTCAAAGTCGAAATCATTTACGAGTCTTAATTGCAAAACAATGTTAATTATACATGGTAACTTATAAATGGTTATTTCAATAGCAATATTAAGTCTACAGTAATATAGTTCACATAAAATATGAAGATTAAGAGTATCTGTGTAACCATTTTGTTAAGGATTTCACGTTTATTTGGATCTTACAAGCGTAATTTTTAGAAAATCATTTACGAGGCTCATCAATACCGTGCGTTTTGCAATATATTTTCAATTATTTCAAAGTTATAATACTTCAGATATCTAGAGCGGATATTTGTCTTGCTTATATTCTGTCATTCATGTAAACTATTTCACTATTTCTCATAAAATTCCCCTGTCAAACAGAAATTTTCAACATTTACGAGCCTATCATTTACGGGACTCACCCTCTTTCACATTCTCTTGTGATTTATTCTGCTAAATTTGTTGAATTATTTCAACTTGTTAATGGACGTTGGTATTGTTGGAATAATATTCTTCCACGAAAACAAAGAAGTATCCATGTTTTTTAAACATACGCATCTGAAATGTGTTTTTCACTTGCAGATAGCTTCTAAAATCATAATTTTAATAATTGTAATTGGTATTCAGACGTTTTGACTATAAAAGAGTTCAATGGATACTTACTTTCATATACGAATACATTCCAACTTATACTTTAATCACAAAAATGAAGTAAACATGAAAACAGGCGTGTCCCGTATCTGGCTGAACTGTCCCGTAAATGGTAAAATTAATTTTGGAAAATTCATTCGAGTAATAGGAAATTTTGAGTCCACGCTTATCAATGAAAACGCACTAGTATTGAAGTATCTTGTATTAATTGTAAGATAGAAGGTTCTTTGGAGCAGATATAGTGAGAACTAACTAGTATTTGTCCATAATTAAACACATTCTGAAAACTTTATAACATTTGCATAGATGTTATATTTAAATGGACAATGACTTTTCATGCATCTTGATATAAAATATTTTAGTTTATCTAGGTTCTTAATATCTGTTTAAACAAACATACTGTTAATTGTTTTGCAGTTCAATTATAAGATAATAGTAATAAGATTGACTTGTCCCGTAAATGACCAGAGCGAAAGAAAATTATAAAACAGTGATTTTCTCAATGAAAGTGATATTTCTATGAGAAAAAATGTTTGTTTTGATTCGTACTATTGTTTTCGTTTGCACTAACTTGGATTTTATGCAAATCTAGCAATTTTGTTGAACTTCTAACACCATTTATACGATCTTTTACTCATTTTTTTACTATTTTCAGTTCAATTGTTTAAATACTGATAATGAAGCCCAACCTTGCCAAAGGAATATCTGCTCCATTTCATAAATAAATATAAATTAATCTTCAATCATTATAAATATATAATTCAAAGTATTTACATTTCTTTCTGTCAATCCATAGCATCTGGAGACTGGGTCACTTACGGGACAATTGAAAAATCATTTACGAGTCCTTAATAAATTGTCAATATATGAGATGACGTAAATTATTTCACTTTTGACAATTGAATAATTAATAAGTAGGTACTTCCAAGAATTCGTCAGTAATTTTTACATTTTCTTACTCGTGCATTGTATGGATCTGTGGATTTTGTAAGGTTATTCATTTTGAAAATGAGATTTAAGCATATTCGATATAAAATGCATTTCCATGAGTTGTTTTTAAAAAGATGTATTTTTTGTCAGTTCAATGATTGATTCTCATTTCCAGATGTTCATATAAATAGATGATAGAAAATTTATTTAAAGAGACAAAATAAAATCGCCATACCATATGCACAAATTTAAGGACCAGTGTCTCGAAAATGACGAAATTTATTTTCTGGTTCTATCTAGAAAACCTGTCATAGGGAAAAATCTAGGACATCTGTACTGGTAATATTTTATACTTAAGATGTCGAGATACTTATAATTTTGGAATGGAATAAAATTTTAATATACAAAAAAGTTCATTTTTCAGTTGTAGAATTTATGAAATGTCGTACTTAAGTGAGAATGAGTGTTTATCGAGTTAACTCTATATATGTTGGTTTTATATCCGTTTTTGTTATCCCGTTGCCATTCTGTTAATTACACCCATGTTCACTTTAAATAAATCGTTTGGTCAAAATCAAATAATATATTTATATTCCCGTTGCTTTGTTTCAGGCGAAACTTTAATTGGCATTCTTGTGGGTGTTCTAGCTGTCTGTGGTGGTATTTTTGGAATGCTATTTGTTTATAGAAGAAGGTATGTATTTAATAAGACATGCAGCAAGATGAGTAAATGAATATTAGGAGGGAAAGAAATATAAAATATTAACAACCAGGTGATGCTTTGATTGTTTAATGAAAATTGTGATTGATTGAAGTTATCAACATTTTTCAAGCGCAGGGTAGCCTACCATTTATTACGTCTATCTAAATATTTACAGCAATCAAAATGTACATCAAACTGTAATTTCAGGAGGAATGCTATCGACAAAAACAAAAGATACGACGGTATAGTACAGTCAAGCGATCACGACGAAGTTACAGAGCATCCATTTGTCCGGGACTTGAATCCTAATACTTCTTCCGGAAGTGAAACAATGACCGGTCAGTCTTCCCAAGAGCTGTACCATAATGCATTTTTCGGAAATGAAACATCGATAACGGAAAGTTCGTCAAATATCTATCATAACCAGTCTGTAGATGAAAAAGAATCATGTGCGGATAATGCATCCAACATTTATGATAATACGTCCTTTAAAGGGAATCAATGGACTGTTGAGGAAATGGAATGTGACTATCTAGGTGACAACTATCCAGTTGACCGAGTTTCTCAAATAGACGACGAGTCAACACCGACCAGCAATCTAGTCCAAGAGAAGAGCAGCAGTAGTGAAAAGATCCACAATATCAGTACAGACATTTATAATACATTAAACGAAGCCGTAAGAAACGAGTATCAAAATCAACCGGAAACGGTTTATACAAATCATAGAAAATCAGACGACATATATGATCAAATAAAAACAAGCAGAAGACAAAGCGAAGGAAACAGTACTGACTTATCAGAAACTAACATGTATGACCATTTCACCAATTATCAAGTAGAATATTCGAAGGCGTCTGCATGTGGGAGACAAAACGTAGAAGATAGTATGGCTTTGACAGATAAATTAACGTATGACTTTTTAACTAAGTGAATAAAATTTAAGGACGATCTAAAGAGTGTTCAAAATGAGAACAGGCTAATATTATATATATGTTTGTCTAAAAATAAGCAACCTGTAACCATGTGTTTGCTCGTGACATATATGGAAAATTGACCGGAAGTAGTATTTTCTCGCGCATGCGTAATTTGCGTAGGGCAAAAAGAGCACTGCCCTACATAGAAATATAGTAGAAAATCATAGACAATTCCGAGTTAGTTTAAGGTAAAAATTAGAAAATCATATAAATAGCTTTTAACAGAAACAAAAAAGATACCTTTATAGCGTTGTGGCCAAGATTGCCCAAAAAAGGCATGGAAAGACGATTTTTAAGAATTCCCACTTACGATCTGACATTGAGATTATTGTTGTAAAAAATGTGGAAATATATATATTAGCAAATAAAGAAGTCATTTAATTGTTATTGAAATTGTCCATATAAAAACTTTTTTTATAACATATAATATATATATTTTTTATATAAATTTTATAACATTTAAAATCGAGGTTAATTATCATTTTGAAAAAAATTCAGAACACGTGATATAATGAACACTGTATATAATGCATTTTTAGTTTTCAGTTTAGCTAATTTTATCCTTTATCCGACTTGACCGAGATGCCAAACAACATTTTTTTTAAGTCACATAATATTTATATATTTAAATATTTTTTCAAACTCTTGGTCAAGTTAAGATGGGTGGTGAAATAACACACATTTTATCCGGTTCCTCGTAACACATGGAAGGAAATGCACGTCTCGTACACTATTTGTCACTTCACAAAATCAATAAGAATTGATGAGATTGGTATGAATAAAAGTTACTTAAATTACGATTAATCATTTTCATAGTTTTAAGTAATTAACTATGTCATGGTACTAAAACGACCCGGTTGAATGATATTGTAAACGAGCTGGCAAAAAAACAACCGGTCACGTGTCAATCTGTTGACACTTACAGCCCTGCCAATTCACTTTCAAAGGAATACCAATTGTGTAATATTATGTAATACATGGGTAACAAAATGTGATATTTAACACCCTGCTGTTTAATTTAAATTACTGACGAAAAGTCACCTAATGATACCTTGAACAGAGGACTTGAATTTTAAGTCCCGCTAATTTTGTATATCCGTTATCAATTCACGTTAAGTACTTACCGCTTTAATTCATCCCAAAATTTCTTTTTTATGGGTGACATAACTTGAAATCACGCCTTTTAAAGCCTTTTAGTACACTAAAATGTATTCTATCGTTATTGCGCTTTTGCCCTACGCAGAATGCACATGCGCGAAATGCAACATACATTGCTATGGAAAATCTTACTGTAAAAAAGGTCTATAGATATGTTTGGTCCTGAGCACAACGCATCGTCGCATGGTGGTAAACATGGCAGTCGAATTATCCGTGAAGTATGTCCTTTCAACATTTGCTGTTTTTATCACCGAATAGGGTCTGAATATCACATTAATTTTTTATTCGTTTCAACTTCGCCGGAAAAACCTGACATAAAAATGTACTGAATTCCACTTTTACCAAGTTGCAAAAGTTTGGCGTAATAATCATTCACAGGATCAAAAAAGGAGAAATTCCAGTGCAACATTGTCAACTCAAGGGAACTCCTACTATTTTAATATTGAAATTCAATTAAGACTTGTACCTCTTTATCCAGGAAAAAAATAAAAGACCAAAGGTCATAGTGTTCTAAAGAAAATGAAACAAAAAGGGCAGTGGGTGCAACCGAGTTGATCAAGCCTAAATAAACAAGAGGGCCATGATGGCCCTATATCGCTCACCTTAAGGAATAGATCTTATAAAGTATTTTTCTTAAAAAAACAAAAAAAAACAAAACAAAAAAAAAACAGGTTTATAAATTTCTTTAATGTCATTTAAAGGTTAGTGTCAAATGTAATGTATTTTTGGCCGACAGCAACAGGAATGCAAACAAGTGTAAAGAAATATATGGAACGCCGTGACTGTCTTATGCTATCAATGTTTTTGCTATCTTGTGAAATGATGATATTATTTTGTCATTTAAGCATATTAACATGTGCAATTTACATCATATCTTGTCTAAAGACAATGTTGACTTGTTCAAACAGCATGTTAACTTGTCGAATAATCATTATGACATGTGCAGACAACATGTTAACTTGTCAAAGTATCATGATGACTTGTGCAAACGACATGTTAACTTGTCAAAATATCATAATGACTTGTGCAAACGACGTGTTAACTTGTCAAAATTTCATGATGACATGTGCAAACAGCATGTTAACTTGTCGAATTATTGTGATGACATGCTCATAATACCTTAACAAGTTAACATGTGTTTTGCACAAGTCATCACGATTTTTTGACAAATTAACATGTTATCTGCACAAGTCATCATGATAATTTGACAAGTTAACATGTCGTTTGCACAAGTCATCATGATATTTTGACAAGTTAACATGGCATTTGCGCATGTTATCACGATACCATGACAAGTTAACATGTTGTTTGCACATGTCATCATGAAATTTTGACAAGTTAACATGATACTTGGACTAGTTAGCATGTTGTTTGCACATGTTATCACGATGATTTGACAAGTTATCATACTGTTTGCACATGTCATCATGAAATTTTGACAAGTTAACATGGCATTTGCACAAATCATCATTATACTTGGACAAGTTAACATGTCGTTTGCACAAGTCATCATGATACTTGGACAAGTAAACTTGCTGTATGCACATGTCATAACGATAATTCGACAAGTTAGCATGCTGTTTACACATGTCATCATGGTATTTTGACATGTTAGCATGGCATTTGCACAAGTTATCATAATACTTTGACAAGTTAACAGTACGTTTTGACATGTCAGCATGATACAAGATAACATGTCATTTGCACAAGTCATCACGATTCTTTGACAAGTTCACATGTTGTCTTCACAAGTCATCATGGTTATTTGACATGTTAACATGCTGTTTGCACAAGTCATCATGATACTTTGACAAGTTAACATGTCGTTTGCACAAGTCATCATTATACTTTGACAAGTTAACATGGCGTTTGCACAAGTCATTATGACAAGTTAACATGCTGTTTGCACATGTCATCACAATAATTCGACAAGTTAACATGTCGTTTGCACAAGTCATCATTACATTTTGACAAGTTACCATGTCATTTGCACAAGTCATCATTATACTTTGACAAGTTACCATGTCATTTGCACAAGTCATCATTATACTTTGACAAGTTACCATGTCATTTGCACAAGTCATCACGATACTTTGACAAGTTAGCATGTTGTCTGCACATGTCATCATAATAATTTGACAAGTTAACATGCTGTTTGTACATGTAAGCATGTTCCTTTGACAAGACATGATGTAAATTGCACATGTTTATATGCTCATACGACAAAATAATATCATCGTTTCACAAGATAACAAAAACATTGATTACATAAGACAGTCACGGCGTTCCATAGAAATACCTCTTTTTTTCTTTTCTTTAAAGTACAGGTTGGTAAAAAATACACTCCCTGTGGCGTGTTTACATCATGAAAATTTTAACAATGACATCATAATTAACAAGACGAAGTACAAATTTGGATAATACTTCAATAAAAATGGGTCAAAGACAAAAATGGCCGGGTTGCATTTGTATACCAAATAACATGACTCATGAGGCTGTGATGTTACAAAAATTTCCTACCATTGCAGTGTTTCTGCCAGAGCGCGTTTTTGCGTTTTTGGCGCACTATTTTCAGCCATGACGCAATGAAATTTAGTTAGTGCGTATTTTGTGACGCAAGAATTTCACCGTTGCTGATTTCAACACAAGTCAGATATACAGACTATAAACCGTCAATTCAGTATAAAAATGTACGGAATGTTTACCGTGGGCTCCACTATAATTTTAATGAGAAATGAAATTTACCGGGTCCGTGGTCCGGCATTTAGCCAATTTCAACTAGTTAATAAACGCTTGCATTTATACGTTACTGCATATATTGAAAGCGCCCAGACAAAATGATTTATTTTGTTGTCGTCATATTCTGGGAACGAATAACTGTCTGCTGGAAAATGCAGTCTGCGTATATGTTAGTGTTCATCTGTGCTGTTCTACAGAAATTAGAAACTTCGAAGGGAGCGATAGCGACAGGAGAATGTTTCTAATTTCTGTAAAACAGCTAAGGATGAAACACTAACATATTTAGTGTCAAGCTTTATTTGGCCTTGATTACGTCACTAGGCGGTACTATGAAGCACTATGAAAAATAGAAGGCGACTATGAACGAATTTCAATATAGTATCGACTTTCTTTCTTCTATGAAAATTAACACACATAATTTTTTAAGAAATACAGCGTTATTATTGGATGACAAATAATCCAAAATAGCAGAGATTGACCAATTTCTTCAACGAAAAATATACAAAATATTGTAAATAAAACTTATAAAGTGTTACCTGTTGTTTTTTTTTACATTTTTGTTAAATTTATTGGCATGACCCTTATGAATTTGAAATGACCCCTAAAATATCATACAGGGGGTCATAAAAGACCCTCAGAAAATCAGAGCTGGCAGAAACACTGTACCATTGACCATTCATATCGAACATTTAACTAAATCAGTAAACAGGAAGAGGATAAGCGATAGACCTGACCTTTGCAGTCACAATACCAAATTTCAAGAGGCTGTGATATGTAGTTGCTAAGAAAACTGTTACGGAAATTTCCTTCCATTTACAATTAATGCCGAAAATTTCACTAGGTCAGAAAACTGAAAGTGGATGAGCAACATACCTGAAATCATATCAATGTTGTATACCAAACATCAAGAGGCTGTAATAAGTAGTTGCTGAGAAAATTGTTACAAAAAATTCGTACCATTGACCATTATTATGAATTAAACTAATGAGAAAATTGTTACGAAAAATTCGTACCATTGACCATTATTATGAATTTAACTTAGTCAGTAAACATGAAGTGGATGAGCGACAGACCTAAAATCGAATCTCATATGGTATGGGACAATGTGTTAATGCTGCATACTAAATATCATGAGGCTCTGGTAAGTAGTTGTTGAGAAAACTGTTACGAAAAATAGCCCAACCAATTCGCCTGCCTGTCCGGAATCAAGCCTCAATACAGGATGGTAAACAGTATTTTTTTTATTTTTTTTTTTCATATATGATTTTTATTTTTCGAAAACCAGTATTATAGTTGTAACAGATATCCCATTAGTGTTTAAATATCAAAATATTTTTGAAAGTGTTTACTCATGGGTATCATGTTGGCCCAAGCATCTGTGGTTTATCATAATTTAGAAAACCCTTTCTAAAAAAAAAGAACAACAACAACAAACAGCAGGGATCTCAGAAAGGTAAGAATTTCACGTGGCAGACTGTTTGACCAAAATTTTCATGAGTCATTTCAGTTTTTTCTTCTCTTTTAATCTCTACATGAACCATCTTCATGTTTCAATAATGAATTCAAAAATTACTGTTTGAGAAGATTTTCAAGTATAAATTGATAATATTGTGAGATTAAGTTATTTTAAAATTACGTATTTTTCTTGCCAAGTTAACAAAATGATAAAGCTAATTAAGTATTACTAGCACCATGGATAATTGCCATAATTATTTTTCCATTTTCACTAACGTTTATTGAGGTCAATAACACATGTGTACATGTATAAATCATAACACGGGACGTCGGGAGGTGATACTTACATAAATACAGAATGTCATGCCTTACTACTTAACAAATAGTTAACAAAATACCTGTTTCAACGAAGCACACCGATAATTGTATTCATCTTCACTTCTTTGTTATGAAATACGAGTTTATGTTACAAAATTTTTCAATTTTCTTGATTGGCGGACGTTTCGTCATGTACTTCCGGTTTAGTATAATTTATAATCTCAAGTCGAGGTCAGGTTGATACAGATGTTTTCTGAGGCAATTTTTTTATAGACTGACTGCTGGTATGCATTATTTAATGATTCGAATCGTATGTTTGTTCTCAGAATGAAATATTATGACATAATTCGTTCATCAGTAGGTGCGGTGTAGCTATATGATTTTTCCCGCAAACCGGAAGGATAAAAAATGTAATATCCGTACGGTAAATTAAACTTTATCTTAATCAACTAATTTTTGTGGAAAAATAAACAACATTTTTTGTTCACTTTCGTTTCTTTGTGCAATTTCATACACAATAAAATGTGCAAGTCATTGTCAAGAACCGAAATATTTTACATTGTATTTCGGAAATGACACAGTCTTCCTTTCTGATGATATTACGAAATTAATGGAAGAATCCATTATTGAATGGGGAAATCAACTTCACTGTAGCTCTCAAATTTGTGCTATTCTGATCGACTCTGTTTTTAATTAACATTCACATTCAACAAACTTTTCATCCTTCTTATGCTTTAAAAGAAAAATCTCCATAACAATGTCTGTTGAGACAAAAAATACAAGATACACTGTCTCAATTTATCCCTACAAAGAAAGTCTATATAACCTTGCAATAAAAAACCCTTTAACTCCCAAAATAGAGACCAATTTTTAACTTAAGACCATAATTTGAATATACTTTGTAGGAACTAACAAGCTAATGCCTTGTGAGAAATATCTAAGCTCTAGCCCTTTCCATTTTGAAGTATAAGAACTTTTAAGTTTTTTTTTTTAGTTGCCATAGCAACCAGAGTTTAGCATGGAATGGCATTCTTTGAACAATCTTGATAGAGCTTCATACAATGAGTATTCCTGCCAAGTTTCATTAATATTGGCCAAGTGGTATTGTAGAAGATGTCGTTTGAATTAATTTGTGGACGGACGCCGGACGCCATTTCGTTGGCCATCCTAAAAGCTCACCTGCACTTTGTGTAAGGTGAGCTAATGATCTTAAAACATTTATCTTGATTAAACAGAAATGAAACATATTTGCTCCATAAATTGCCAAACTGTGAAATCCTTTTTTTTTTGCATTATATAATTGTGTTCTCAAAAGAAGAGCAACATAACTTTAATTGGAGTACAGTTCTTTAATTTTCGATAAAGAGTATACTTTCCCAACAAAATTAAATTCAATGTTGCATTATTTAAGTGTTCATTGCCTAGGATAATATCTGTTCCACTGTTTGATGACACAAAATAAATGTTTTCTAGTTTCAATATGGTCTTTGCAAAAAGTATATATACAAACATCATTTATTCTTATTTTATGTAAAAGATAATTTGTTGCCAGTATCCTGTGATTAACTTAATACTGAAACCATTGTTAATTTGAATCCTTTATGATATTGAAAGGGAGCCTATAAATGAAATTCCAGTTAAAACAATCATAAATCGAGTTCAGATTCCCATTTTTTCTTAGCAGTAGATGATATATTTGGTCTAAGAATATATAATCATAGATTTGTCTACATCCCTTCTTTTGACTATTGATTATCATGATCATTAAAGACTGAATAGGCATTTCCTCTTTCTGATGTAGGTGTCTTAAAGACAGTTGATTTTAAATATCTCCTAATGGACTCTACAATGTTTTGATACTCTAAAAAATTGTTGGTATTTATATCAAACTTAGTTAAAAAATCATCAAATGATAGCAAATAACCTTTATTGTCTAAGAAGTCATTAACCAGTATAATACTGCAATTTACACATCTTGAGAAACAAACAATAGAACCACCTATTTTAAATAGACAGTTATGTCTAACAGGAAGTGAACAAAAATCACTCCAATTCCTAGGGTACTGTTTATTTCTTTTTTGGTTTGTTTTTGTTTTGTTTATTTTATAGATGTTCATGACCTCTGAAGTCTGGTAGATAACTTTATAATATATAGAGTCCAGCAGAAAGACTGTGAAATTTTAATATGCCTTCCTGAAGGTAACATAAAAGCATCAACATAAAAACATGGGATAAATAGTTAGCTGATAAGTCAAATGGACTCGCTAGCAAGAAAACTTGCAACAACTAACAATCAAAATACTTGTAATTGTTTTTTTTTTATTTTTCATAGAAAATGATTTTCAATCATCAGTGTTCATAGAATACAGTATCATTCATAATATGTTAAAACAAGAATCATTTTGTGAAAAAAAATAAACACTGCATGCTATAACAATTATATACAATAGAACTAGACTCCCTAACAACAGTTTCACAATACATGTATATCACAGACAGATACTTTATAACATTACCATAAATGGTTACAATGTAATCTTCCAAAATCTAAATTATCACATATAAACAGTATCGGTACCTTCAAATAAGCTAAAATTACTGAGATTTAAGAAATGTTTACATTTTCACATAATGAGTTTTTACAATTACACACAACCAAAACAGGCACTATCAAGAACATTATGATTTTTTATACATCAGACATTGAGAGGGTCTGGTAGATAAAAAAATAAATCTGTTCCTGTGGTCATTCATTTTCAGCAGGTTATATCTTTATGACAAGTTCTTGCAACTGATGTGTAATTGTTTTCTAAGTACTACAGCTTTTAGTCTATGACACTCATAACAAATGTTAAAAATTAAATGGAACATTTCAGAGTTCGGAATATGGAACTTGCAAGTGTTGCCTTAACCACTGTGACAAGTTTTCTTTATCATACATAGTTTCGGTCAGTGACCTGAAAATGTGTAAAGTTTGTGTTTGACTTAACTTCTATTGCTAGGAAATATGATGACAAATATTAACCAACTGTTACACCAATGCCACTTTAACCTTTGGTCTGCTAACTGGCTCAGTTTCTATTTTTGGAACTCAAAAAGTATCAATTTCAGAGACTCGAACTTTAAAATTAAATGTGAGTCAGTCAACAACATAGAGCCTGGTCAGACTCAGACTGCCTACAAGTACAGACTGCCTAGCTCTATACTAATTGCCAAGACTAGTCACTTTTGATTCCAGCAGGGTAAAGGCAAATATGTTTCAAAAAGTCGGGGTAAAAATTACCCAAATTCACATAGAACTACAGAAATTTAAGATTTACTGTGACTGATCATGAAATTTTTACCAATAATAGTACAAATGAATTCATAGTCCACAAAGGTTTATATAAACTTTAAAATTATTCACTTTGAAAAAAGTCATGATATATTATACTTTGTTTTGAAGGATGTATTCCTTTAATTCCTCTGTAAAAATAGCCTCAATTTTTTATGACATCTAACTAAACACTGTCATTTGTGATGAAAATTCAATATGTAAATAATTGTCCACTAGAATCACCTCTAAATATATTACATATGTAGTATGTCTGCTGAAATATTCTAAAAACATAGCAATTCTACTGATGACAGATATAACTATCCTGGTCCCATACTGTTATAAATGCTTGTTTCAGATTTATGCTTTGCTTTTGGCATGAGCAGATAATATGTCGTTAAGTTTGGACATTTTAGTTAAGCTATTAATTTATGAAGATTTTTAAATTCCTAGTAAAGTCCATTTATCTTAGGTAAGTTTGTGGTTAAAGGAGATTTTAGCTCAGTTCATAGTATGTACAAGTTTTAGGATCATAATAACAATTGAGTTGTGAGTCATACAGTAGATCTAACTCCTCCTCATCATCTGTTGTCTTTGGAGATTCTCCTGAAATTAACAACAACTTCCTTACATGCAATGCTGAAATGATTATTCTTAAATATCAAATCTAAAACTAATACTGTTATTTGAAAACATCAGTCCAATATTCATTATTTTTTCTTTTGCTCAGGCAAAACCAAATTTATTTTCTTGATAGAACACATAGAAATATATGTATTTACTATTATAAACTAAATGTGAGAATTTAGAATGAATTCCTAAAATGGACTTGTCCAGCATCCATTTTTGAAATTGTCCATTATCAATTTTAGGTGGTATCAAGATAAAAATCTAAAATTAGTCCACCTGACCTGGCTCTATACTGGTGGCAAACGTTTATCACTTTTGATTCCAGTTGGATCATGGTTAAAATTAGCCTTGTTACCTACAGCCGTAAGAAGTCAGACTTAAGTGAATTGTTTAGCATGGTCTTACCTATATTGGCAGTACTATTTATCAGAAATGTACACTTTAACAATATATATCATTGCAAAATTTTAACCATTACTAAAACCATGTCATTTCAAACTGCATTAAATGAATTTGTAAAAATATTTTGCGGTCTGCCTAAAAACCAAGCATTCTACAGTTTCATTAACCTTTTTAACAGTATTGTTGTAAATCTCACCAAATATTGTTCATAAATTAAGACTTTAAGGTAGACACACTTTAAACGTTTTAGATTCACGGTGCATAAGGCCTGGTGTTCAGAAAATAGTAAGCATCTCATAAAAAAAATTTATCTTGTATGAAAACATCCGTAACAATGCGGAAATATACCGTTAAATTAGGCCTGCTACTTTAAGCCATGTTTGTTGATTTAATATTAATGTACTGATGATCTGAAGGCGGAGTTTCTCATGCAAACAGAAATTGTACATCCGATTTTATTTTGCCACAGTGAGGTTGCATATTTTTATGCTTATAAAACTCATTTTGGTTTTCTGGACACCAAAATAAGATCTGGAGTTGATATGAAACCCTATTTATTAATGAAATGTCGCTATTTCTGTTTTTATGTAATTTATTAAATTCAGCTTTAAGCATAACTATAATAAGTTTACCTGCACCCAGGACTGGTTTCCTTGGTGAGTTATTGCTTAATGTGGAGATATCATCAAGTGAATTAGATACAGGCATACCATGTAACACTGGCGGACTACAGACTCCACTCCATTCCCTGCAATATGTAAATTTAATTAAATTTAATATTATGCCCTGGTATGATACAAGCAGTAAAAATAATACATTTCTTGAAAACAGAGTACATGTATACAAAACTGCTCATATTTTGATATGTGACCCTTGGTTCTACTCAAGAAAAAATTTGAAGTATCACAAGTACAAATAAGCTCATGCAAATGTGAAATTAGGTTTTATTATTTAACATTCTAACTGAATATCTATGTGTACAGTGAAAAAATGTAAAAGATTTGTTAGGTCAAACAATATATCTCAATATTTATCCAATGGACACTTTCTGAATTTTGGAACATCTGTCAAAATTCTAACAATAGTACAGTCATCAATTTAGATTCTGACAAACTGATTTTAATAAATGTCTGATCCGGCTCTATACTGCCCACATTGCAAAATCATGATAATACTGAAATTTTAACAGAAGTTTGAGAAAATCTATCAAGCCAGACGCCTACTCGTGCATAAAATAATACAAGGAGGAACACCTACAGTCATTAAAAAAAATAAAAACAACATGCATCAAGAATAAACACAGGTTTTCAGGTATCTGGTTACATAAATATAAAAACCTTTCAAAATATCATGTAACTACAATAACCGTCCGGTTAGCTTAATATGAATTAGGACTATGAATTAGGCGACCCGGGTTTGATTCCCGGAAGGCGCAGGTCACTTTCGTTTTGATTGATCATGAAATCCTTTCTACGGTCATTCGCACTGTACCTCTGCCCTGGCATGTACAGAGGTTTCAGTTCCTTGCCGAAGTGAAGGCAACTAGTAATGATAAACTATGTGACAGCCTGCCCAGGAACGATGCGATGGTTAAACTATGCTCTGCTGAATTCAATGTGGCTTACTGTCGTGAAAGAGTGAAAACTACCACCACCACTCATGTAACCAGAAATGTGTCTCTAGGATTTGGCATTGTGGATGTCCCTATATGCCACTGTTTTGTTAGTTGTTTTGTCAGTTGACAGTGTGAAAGCATGGCAGACAAAGGCAAATCTATACCCCATCTCCTGCGCCCTAACATAATATAAATGTATGGCAATGTTTTTAAACTAGCATACTTACCTTGGATCTGTGAATGTGTCTGAACTCAACCTGATCTGCATTTCTGGCCTATAGTCATGTGGTTTCTGTGGCTGTAATGTTAGTTTACACAATAAAGTGAATAATATCACTAATGCAGCATAATAAACATGTTTATTATATACCTGCTGATAAAATGTATATTTTTATTTGCAATATTCACCGTAAAAATTTACTGTTCACTGCAGTGAAATATATTTTACATATTTTCAACAGTTGTTTTGCTGAACTATTTTCTTCAGCCAATACACACAATTTAGGCAAAGTCATTCAAATTGTAATATCAAAAAGGAGAAAAATGTATATAATAAACAGAATATTCAAGGTTTTTTCTATAAATACAGGATTTATTTTCATCTTGTGGTATGAAAATTATATTTCACTCTTGGCTACCGCTACTCATGAAATATTTAATTTTCATACCACTTAATGAAAATAATTGCTGTATTTATTAAAAAAATCTTAAATATCTTCTATTTCTCAAACACAATAAATATCTACTTTCCTATATCTATTACAAATTTTGTTGTTTATTTGTTGTCCATCTTGTTTTCCCCTTAATACATGTACCCTATCAGAAGAACAGGATGGGAAAAGTAAGTCCTAGAATGGACAACACCTAATTGTCTAATTCAAAGAATAAATCCATACATATATTGTAGACTGATGAAACTTGATACTTGCCCTTAATTGCAATTCTATAAAAAAAAGTTATATGTAAAGTGGCTGATACATTTTAAGATGACTGATGTATAATTAACAAAACCGTACCGGTGGTTTCCATGTACTGAGACTGGTGTCATCCTCCTCGCTGAAAAACGTCGGTGAATCGTTGTTAGTCTCCCGACTTGTACGTCCAACTTGTGGTCCTGATTTTCTCACTTTTAATACCACTTTTGGTGCTACAATTTCTGAAAAATTCTCTGCACCACCAATTGATTCAGTTCTTTTTAAAGATTTAATTGCATTTTGATTGCTTTTATTTGTATCTATAAAGTTCTCAGGTTCAAACTCGGCACTCCTGGCACCTTGGATTGCTGCCAACATTTCTTCCTCATCTGATGCAGTAAGATCCTGATATGCATATTTAGAAAAATCATACGCTTTCTGAAAATACAGAAAATTTGTTGAAAACAAGTATATGAACAAACATAGCCACAAAAAGGGAAAAAAAGCTGGTCTTTCTTACTAAGCTTTTTTTCTAATTTTATGTCTTGTCATGGTATTTTAATCAAAAGCTTGTGTTTTGGCCAGAAAGACACTGGTGAAGAAGTAATCAAACACAAAAGAAACGAAATCTGACAAATTAAAACAAGGAACATAATTCTTTTCCTCCTAATTAACAGAAATTTTTCTGGTTTAGTCCTGATAGCAGACATCATTTAAAACATGTGTTCTTCTTGTTATAATTGAGGTTAAGTTGATTCAATCAATAAATCTATTTCTTTTTCCCATTCGTTTTTGCCATTCATAACAGAACTTCTAGAACAAAACATTGTTTAACCCTTTCCCCCATGAGCATATTGTGAAAAATGGCCGTTTTCATTGAAAAGCCTCCTGTTACAAGTTCAAACTGCTATGAAACTATGAAAAATGCTTCAATACTAATCAAACTTGGCACAAATGTTGACTGGACCATTGCCTTTGTAACGACATGCTCAGTCTTAAATTTCCTGTTACGATGGCAACGAGGGGACATCTCAAAACTGCCAAAAAATCACTATTTTGCCTCGATTTTTTCCATCAAAATTTATTTCAAAGTGCTGCAACTTCTCAAGGGATTGAGATAGAGTCAAAGGCTTTTCAGCGTTGGTTACACGTTACATTATGATCGACCTGGGGTCATTTTTAGCCTCTCACAAGTCCAAAATTTTCTTGGCGATGAGGGGGACTCCGCCCCTCTTCAAACCCCCCTAACAGAAGGGGGCACATCCCCCTTCTGGCAACCCCCTGATGTATCTTTTGGATGGGGGGCGGCGCCGAAAAAGTGCTCCATTTTTTTAGCAACATTTCTCAAACGAAAACATGTGTTTGGGGCCCAAATAGGACATTTTTTCACTATTTGAGGCCTAAAAAAAGGGGGGGGGGGGGGTCGAAAGTGCGTTGTTTCGCGTATATATGAGGAAAAGGGTTAAAAGGCATGTCAAGTATAATAGATCAACAATGTTAACATATATGAAGCACCAACAGCATTTACTATACAACTGCTTTTTTATTTTCACATTTATATATCTGTTGATAAAATTAAAAATAATAATACTGCATACATTTTATCAAGGATATAACTATAGGTAACTTGTTTAACCTTTACCCTCCCAGAATCAAAACTTATTAGTCTTTGTTATCAGTCTAGAGCTGGACCAGCCTGCACTTATGTCTGACCCATATCTAAACTGTTGGTAGCCAGGTAGGTCAGTTTTTGTAAATTTGATCCTGAAATCTTTTTTTTTCAAATGGACTACTTCGAAGTCAAAGCAGGGACAATCCATTGCACAAATTCTGCAGGCTAAGGGTAAAACATTTTATAACAATAGAAATACAACTTACATTTTCAGCATTAGTATGAGAAATTCTGGCATCTGTCATTGGGATTTCCTTTAATTTTGTCTTGCTCATTCTAGACACAAAACTCCTGTCTGTAATGCCCTTAGAACTTGTGGGGCTTCCCCCACCATCATCAGTTCCGTTTGGTAACCCACTTAACCTAGGAATCGGAATTCCGTTTTCTAATCTCACACTGTCTAAATTCCCATTGTTTGTGTTTGTAGCACCATTTGTTTTCTTATTGCTATATTCATAATGGTTTTCTGCATAACTAGATGGAGGTATGTGATTAACTGCCCTTGATCCTGAATTTGTCCGAGAATGGGATCGATTAGCACTTGTCGGCCTTAAAGGCCTATTACCACTATCTGGTCTACTACCTGAACTAGGCCTGGTTCCACTGCCAGGTCTGGTACCACTATTAGGCCTGGTTCCACTACCAGGCCTACTACCACTATTAGGCCTTGACCCTTGTCTATTCAAGCCTCTAAGTTTATCGTCACTATCTGATGAGTCATCATTTATAAAATCCTCCTCAGGTCTTGGGCCTCGAGCCTTTGACCCCTCCTTCTTTCTACCTTTTGGAGCTGTCTTTTTAACCTATAATAAAAATCAAAATGCATCATCATATTCTGTTTAAATGCAACAAAAATAGAAAATTTATTCATTTAATATAACAAACAATTTTTTTCTTCTTTCTGAATGTCAACAAAAAACAACAACAATGGGTTAAAATGAAGTTTAACTTAAAGACATTTTTTTTCATTACTGATTAGCTAAGCTGAGGCCTGCTAATAACAACTGCTTCCATCAAAGTGACAACTGCAGACCAAGATCAGCTGGCACATTTGTACTTTCTGATCAGCTTCTGTACTGTTCTCTATTCAGTCAGCACATTAAAACAGATGGCCAAGTTCATTTAACATATTTAGCATGGTAAATGTTAGATCTCAAATAACAAAATGTCTTGTACCAAGTTATTTTCTTTTTAAAAGACCACAAAAACATGTTTTGCAATTTTATTCACATTAGTTTTTACTAAATTTACATTTCTCTTACATTTTCTCAATGAAATGGTTATTTCATGATCAATTTATAGCAAAATTCAAATTGCACACAATATTTGACACTCAATAAAAACATGATTGTGTTTACTAAATATTTTCAGAAAAACCATGTGATGCATTTTCTACAATGACTCAAACTATTTCATAAGCTGCTGAAAGTGAAGTGCCTTTACAATTGTATTTTGATAATCCTTATCCATATTTTGACAGGACTGTTCAAAATTCAACACAGTGACTATCATTTATACAAATTCACCCAATTAACTATTACATACGTTTTTATCCACATTGTCTAGGAGATGATAAGAAGGTGAGGCATTTTTCTGTCTGGGAGCAGGTTTAGGTTGTGAAACAAACAGATACGTATCATCTCTATCTTCCCTTAAAAGACAAACACACACATGTTATAAAAATATAAACAATCTAGATATAATGGGCTTTTTTGATGTTTATTAAATTTAAATTTTTTAAAAAAAAGTATATGCGCTTTTTAAATTTAAAAAAAACCCAAATTTTAAAAAAAATTTGTATTGCCCAAAAAAATCTTTTTTTTCCTTTAATGGGCCCAAAAATCTAAAATTAAACACACAAATTTTCTTTCTAGGGTTATGGAACAAACTTAAAAACCAAATAAAATAAAACAAATAAACCTACAGAAAACCAAATTTATTTCTACATTTCCCCATGATTCCGGGTTTTTTTATTTGATGCCCAAAAACATATTTTTTTTTTTGCCCCCAAAAATTTGAAAAAATTTTTTGCCCTATGTGATAAAAAAAAAAAACAACAACCTCAAATTCAAAATTGACTGTCTAAGAATAAAAGGCTACCCTGCTTAAACACAATTACAAGTAAAACAACTTACTCTTCACTGTCACCCTCCACATCATCCTCAATCTCCTCGTCCGAGCTCGCAGTATGATTCATTGCATATTGTATATCTTTAGGTAACAATTCTATCAAATCTGACAGCTCATCCATCTCCACACCCTCCTGCTGATAATTAGCAGCACGATACTCTACAAATATATACAACTTACTCATTATCATTTATTCTATATATTTATGTACTTGTATCATCAGAATCAAAACAAAAACCATTGCATGTATTCAATTACTGATATATAAGACAAAGTGTTTATCTGTTGTACCAGTATTTCACAGAATTTACGCTTTTAGAGTTCCTGTATATAGGAATCAAATCTACACAGCTTTTGTCTGTATGTTTTAACCAGGCTTTATAATAGTTGCAGCTTAGTTTCAAGTATTTAATATTCAAATCCATTTAAACAATGATGGACTGTTCAAAATTCAAAGTGAGTAATCTATATGACAGCAAGCAAGGTATGGTTTGATAAAAACAAGACTGTCCAGAGTACTTGATTGCCAACAATCTAATTTCTACATCAAATGTAATTCAAAGTTGGAAATCTGAAAATGATGATAATAAAACTACTGTATGTGTATTTAAATTCGCGGAAGCAAATTTTCGCGGAAAGGTCCACTTTGGGGGTTTATACAAATATTCGCGCTATTTTGAATTCGCAGAGGTGACTGCCGAAAATCATAAATTCGCATAGACCACTCAGGTTAAAAAAAGGAAAATTACTGTAATCATCGTGGGAGTTCACAGTTATTTTTAATACCATGTGTCAAACAATACTCTATTGTACAGAAAAAAGACATTGTCTAGCGGACAGATTATAGAAAACAAAAGAAATGCCCGTTAACGTGCATAATTTTTCATAAGTTTGCTCATAAACGTCTTGAAATCTTGATTAAAGCTGTTTTGGTTTTTCTGAACAAACAATTAAAAAAAAAACACAAACATAAACGATTTTAAATGATTCATAACTTGAAAACAAAACGATAACACAGTTAAGATTTTAAATAAAAAGTGTGAAAGCATAGTCACATACTGATATACATTGTTCTACAGAAGCCAGCGAAAATATGACCTATTATACGAAATTCGCGGGCTACTCTAGAACATGAATTCGCGGATCGAATGTCACCGCGAAGATCGCGAAAATTTGAAGCCCGCGAATATTTCTACACATACAGTATTTTTAAACAAAGGTTTCATTGTCACAAAGTACATCCATCTTATTATTTGATTTATGATGACTATATGTTCCTTACAATATTTTAATCTTTCATTCCATGGGTGACTATGACATTGACAAAAATGACCTGAATTTTGCATGCAACACTGTGCCTCACACCATTAACATTTATGCAAAGTTATATCAAAATACTTCAATGCATGTAGAAATTTTGCTCTGGACAGGTATTTTCCCCTGATATATGACACCTGGTGCATGTGCAAGACACTAAGTTTTATGATGGTGAACACTTTTATATAGTTATACTAATACAATAATACTAAAATTTCTTCATGCATGTAGAAGACTAAAATATAATGGGATGTGGCCTGTCAACCATCAAACAACCCATATTTCAAATTATATATAAAAAGGGCAGTTTATTCTTGTTAAAAATTGACTTAATCTCACCTTTTCTCTGAGGAGGTTTATTTTTACGATGAACATCAACAGGGGGTCGTTTAATATGTTCAGCAGATTTCTGACGAGGTCCGGAATCAGTACTACTTCCACTGACATCTAAAAGGTCGCCATCAGAGACAACCCTCATACATCGATGCTCATTGTAAGGGCTGTGCTGATTGGACAACACAGACGAAGCACTAGTTCCTATTCCTTCATCTGTAACAAAACAAATTTTTTCTCTATTTCTCAGGACATAAGAGACCATCATTACTTACAGATGACAAGAGACAAACCAGCAAACGTTTCTGTGCAGTGTGGTCAGTCACTATATGTAAGCATCTGATTTTGATATTGAATCTAATAATGAACAGTTCTAAATTCACAGCAGGATAAATTTATCAGTAAAATTTTACAGCAAATATGTATCAAGGAAACAATTTCTGTTCTGTAAAGCATTGACTAATGACAGAAACATTCACAATTGTATGTAAGCATACAATATAATGCTATCTGAAAACTTTATATGCTATCAACAGTCTATACAAAATTAATTGTGCTATACAAATTCTAAGAGAAGCATACCTGTAATGCTTGATTAAGACATTAAATTAATACATTGATAACAATACGCCCATCAAATTATACAGCAACATCACTTTTCTCTTTCCTTAATAACGCTCATAAGCTTAAATTTTATAGCCTGATAGAAGTGTAAATTACATTTTTAAATTGCAACTAACTGGCATGCTTGAAACTTCTGAACAATTATGTATAACATTATATGGAGGAAGAACTAACCTTTTTGTGAACTTGTATTTGATATTCTGTCTTTCCCGGCACTGTTACTTTTAAATCGAGCAGGCCGTCTTCTAACTCGCTCGTGTGAGGGTTCACGTGGTGGATGAGGCTGCACTACTGATACCTCTCCATGTGCATTTTCTAGAAAAATATCATTTCAGCCATTCTAAAATACATGGTAGTTTCACAACAAAAGTAAATATTGATGTAAAAATTGTAGAAAATGATTCCTCTAAGAAAAGTGCTACACATAAAATACTTTCATATGATGAATGACTTTGTTACAGTACATTCTAAAATTGAACAGTTTGACATAGCAGATAATTTAATCAAAGCAGACCTCGCTGAATAGCACATTTACATGTGCAATAAGTGATTATGTACAGTACAATAATAATTGACTTCTTTTTTCTTTAGCTTCATGAATTGAGAATGATTAAAGAGAGTGTATTTGGTATATATAGATCTATTTATCTTTATTTTTGAAACTGGAAATGTGTGAATTCAAGACCAAACAAAATTGAATGATTTAATAGTAACATAAGCAGTGGATTTAAAAGGAGAGCTTATGATTTTAAAGTATCTGCCTTGCAACCTGGTGTTTGTGGGTTTAAGCCCTACATAGGCCACATTCAAGATTTCCCATAACATTACTGGGCAGCTCAGAGTAAGTAGACTTAAGTTGCAAAAACTTCACTTAAAATAAACCTATGATAAAAATTATAAACACAACTGAAAAATTTACAATGCATCTAGTATAATCACAGAGTTTTTGTTATAACATTTTAATCAAAGTTGATTTTGAATTTTATCCAATACACCAATTGACAGTTTCTGGACTAGCAGACGACAGGCTATTCTCATCAGTATATTGCAAGTGGTAGGTTTAACCGTAAATTTAAATACCTTAAGTGTCAAACAAAGTGTATAAACTGAGACAAAGCTAAGATCACAAGCTTTCCAATGGTGTAAAAAAATTTAAAATCTGACATTAAATCACCCCAAAATAGCGGCTTAAAATGGCTTAATTTGTATTGTTTTAGCATTACTGGCATGCGAGCAGTTCCCATACAGAAGCAGTACCCGTATTTTTTCGTTTAAACACTTTTTTTACTTGCATTGTTCAAAAATTAATATCAAATCAATCAGATGTATAAACGAGACAAAATCTAAGTGTCAGTTCCGCAGTACTTATAAAGTTTCATTCTAAATCACTTTCACCTGTGGGTTTTCAAAATGTGACCTTGTTTACTTTGGGGGATTCCGTCCTTGCGCGCATGCGCAAAAATACTTACATTTGAGGCGTGTTAAAGGGTTTTTCACTTATACCACCTGTGTACAGATAAGTAGGCAATGCGATGAAAACTTGTTAAATTATCAGAATTTTGACCTACATTACTAAATTAAATAATTTTAAGGCTTTAATGCGTAAAATATCATGCATACAAGCACTCTTGGGGTAACGGCATCGGGTAATAGATACCAGCGTTTAGTCTACCCACTATTTCCTGAGTTACATCTATTTTACCTCTGTGAAAAAGGTCTGTTCAACAATTATAAATGAAAAATAGGTCTGATATAACAACATTGTATTATAATGGGTTATATTTTATGTTCGGGAACTACTTCTCTTCATACAAAATAATGGATAATTTCGGTACCCCATATGAGGCCTCATAACTAAAGGTTATTCTATGTTTAGATCATAATGGAATTTCCATGATTTGTGTGACAAGCCGAATATTGATGTGTAACATTCAATTTTTTGGTGAGTGAGCGTAATAAAAATTAATTTTTAAGTTACTACTATTTTAGTACCGGAACTGATCGCATGCCAGTAGAGATATCGATTTTACTCAAAGATAAGGGAAATAACTCATATCCTTGATATACCTCGGTTTTTTATGTAGTTCATATAGAGACTGTCAATGGGTGTATACAAAGATAAAGCTTACTTGTGGAAGAATCCTTGTCTATAACAGTGAAAGGATCTGAATACTGTCTCTGGTGTCCTAAACGAACTGATGCTGGTTTCCCTGGAGGGTTTGGGACAAGCTGGGTACCATCTTTCTTTGATATTCCACTGGCCCCACCTCCAGACCCCATCTCCCTGGACCCTCCACCTGGGTCCCTGCCTGTGTATAGACTGTCCCTACTCACTGACATATCTTGATATCCAGAGCTTGTAACACCATCTGTTAACATGATAAATCTATTTTATCAGTTAAAGAGTTCATGAACAGAAAAATTCAAGTTTGCTAAGTATCAAAACACAAAGATGCCATACTCATGATTATTCTTATATTTTATTGAAACTAAATGCTGGAAAAGCAAGGTGAAGAAATTTCTTGTTTATGGTATGTAATGCTTTGTTTTCATTTTTCACTATCTACAATATTAGAAATAAATTTGGGGTGTATTTTTTAAAGTTACCATACTTATTGTTTAACAATCTTCCTATATGAAATTGGTAGAAGTAAAATTATATCAAAATTAATTAATATGTTGTTATCATATATTTCAACATTCAAGAGCAATAATTTTTACTGTACATACCTTCTGCTCTTGAATTACTTCTAATACTCCTGTTAGTGAGGTTACCAACTGTCTACAATATGAAACAAAAGAAAATATATTACACATAAAAGTACTATCAAATTATTACACATAACAGTACTATCAAATAATTACACATAAATGTACTATCAAATTATTACACATAACAGTACTATCAAATTATTACGCATAACATTACTTTCAAATTATTAAGCATAAAGGTACTATCAAATTATAACACATAAAAGTACTATCAAATTATTATGCATAACAGTACTATCAAATAATTACACATACTGTACTATCAAATTATTACGCATAACAGTACTTTCAAATAATTACACATAACTGTACTATCAAATTATTACACATAACAGTACTATCAAATTATTACGCATAACATTACTATCAAATTATTATGCATAACAGTACTATCAAATTATTACACATAACATTACTATCAAATTATTATGCATAACAGTACTATCAAATAATTACACATAACTGTACTATCAAATTATTTCACATAACAGTTCTATCAAATTATTAAGCATAACATTACTTTCAAATTATTAAGCATAAAGATACTATCAAATTATTACACATAAAAGTACTATCAAATTATTACACATAACAGTTCTATCAAATTATTAAGCATAACATTACTTTCAAATTATTAAGCATAAAGGTACTATCAAATTATTATGCATAACAGTACTATCAAATTATTACGCATAACAGTGCTATCAAATTATTACGTATTACAGTTCTATCATTTATGGTATCAAATAATTAATAAAATATTGTTTTGGTTTGGGATTTCAGTGACACCAACATTTTTAAGGTCTTCTTGCAACTTTCCAGTTTTTAATGGTGGATGAAGACCTCAGATTCCTCATTCATACATTATTTCAGGCACAATTAGGTACCTGTGTAGATCATCCAGGATTGTGTAAGCTAGCTGGATAACTTCCTCACATGGAAAAATTAACAAAGTCCCAAGATTTATAGATACAGAAGAATAATTTTATCATTTAATATAATGAAAATTCTATTCTTCAATGAAAATGTGAGTGGAAAACTATATTGTTGTCAATGTATGTACATATTTAACTGTTAAACTGGTAAGATCAAAGCATACATGTGAACTCTCCCACTTTTAGCGGGAGACTCCCACTTTCTGCAGCCATATTCTCGAAGATTTTTCTTAAAACAAGGAGTATTTTCACAAATTTAAGAAATCTCCCTATTTTTGATGTAAGAACTTCCTTCTTTGTTCATTGCAAGTCTAAAATCTCCCTCTTTTGACAAAGATAAAATTTAGCCATATTAAAAGATTTGTTAAGTTACTTTAACCTAAATAATAATTAAACACAAATTGCAGACAATTTTACATACACAAAACCATAACTAGTTCTACCCTAACCAAACTAAACCATGTCAAATGTTTCAAAACTTATAAAATTAATTTTCTAGTCTTTTTTTTAAAGAAGTTAAATAGGACTGATCTGGACTAGCACAGTCAACCATCGTTAGCTCAACATCACTTTTCTCGATATTTCAATATCTCGAAGAAATTTTGAAAGACCCAATTTTCTCCCTTCTTAATCTATATTGGATATATTTTTATATCTTGATATTTTTATTTCGATATTTTCAGCATCTCGAAGTAAAATTTCAGCCCCAACAGTTTTTTTCACACTTTATCCATTGTTTATCTTTATCCTTTGTTAATCTCCACTAATAATATTTTTGTCTTTCCCCTGCAGAGGTGTGAACAACATGAAAAAGACGATAACATGTCATATTATGATGATTATGTTTGTAACAAGTCGAGCTGTTATTTAAAAGTTATTCTTATTAGCATGTTGATTGATTTATATCCAAAACAAGAGCCACCGGTGGAGTCACGTGGTGAAGTCACATGGTGGTGTCACATGGTGGAGTCACGTGGTGGAGTCATGTGGTGGAGTCACGTGGTGGTGTCACGTGGTGGTGGAGTCACGTGGTGGAGTCACGTGGTGGAGTCACGTGGGTGGAGTCACGTGGTGGAGTCACGTGGTGGAGTCACGTGGTGGTGTCACGTGGTGGAGTCACGTGGTGGAGTCACGTGGTGGAGTCACGTGGTGGAGTCACGTGGTGGAGTCACATGGTGGAGTCACGTGGTGGAGTCACGTGGTGAAGTCACGTGGTGGTGTCACGTGGTGAAGTCACGATAAACAACAAGGTCTTGTCCTTAAGTATGTTCTGTTATAATATGAAGTTGATCCCTTCAATAATAGCAAAGTTACAGCCAGTTACAGCCAAAACAATGAAAATTTCAATAATTTGAACTTCAAAGTCAAGGTCATTAATGAGTGAAGGTCAAGGTCTGTTGGGTTATTTTTAAGGATTATCCTTGAACATTATTATGTTCAAGTTTGAAGACAATCCATTCAAAAATAACAAAGTTACAGCCAATACTAGCCAAAAACATGAAAATTTCAATAATTTGACCTTCAGTCAAGGTCATTTATGAGTGAAGGTCAAGGTCTGTTGGGTTATTTTTAAGGGATATCCTTGAAGATTATTATGTTCAAGTTTGAAGACAATCCATTCAAAAATAACAAAGTTACAGCCAATAACAGCATGAACAAGCAAAATTTGGACTTTTAACCTTGAAGGTCAAGGTCATTTATGGATGAAGGTCAAGGTTAGTGTGGTCTACTGAAAGGTCTTGTCCCAAGGGTTGTTGTGGCCAAGTATGAAGACAATAGACCAAGAAATAAAAAAGTTATGATCCAGGTACAAGTTTGCGGACGGCAACGCCGCCGCGACTATAACAATACCTCTACTTCTTTTTTTGTTATCTCGATATTTTTTGGATGGGCTGATGACTTCGAGATAACGAGAGTCGACTGTATCTGTACTAGTTTCTGATGATACATCGTTACACTTCATAAACAAAAACAAAAAACAACAAAAAGATTAAAATAAAATGCTCATATAAAAATAAAACAGACAGCAATTTAGCATGAAATAACATTGACAGCATCCTACTGTTCTTTGAATGAACATGTGTGATTCTGTTTTTTCAGTTTTAAGTCCAAAAGACAAAAGTGAGAACTGGCATCTAGCTGGAAAATCAACAATCTATAAAAATAACTCTATGAAGTAAACAAAATCAACATCCTTTACATGAATCAAGAAAGCCAGTGGTGAAAAATAAAAGCAAATGATTTAAATCAGTGACTTAAACCTCTCACCCAACCACAGTTTTTTTTCTTACAATTATGACGCAAAAAAGTTTAACATTTAGATTCCCATCAGATAATTCTTACACAATTTAGTTCCAATCACAAAATCCTGAGTGAAAAATATATTCCCAACACACTATCTGCAGACATTCTTTTTTCCCTAACACTATTTTTACCAGCATGAAAGGAACTAGTGAAATCTTACTTTGCAATACAATGATCTAGCAGAGTCTAACAACTGAGAGCATTTTCCTATTGTACTCCTCCTTGAAATTCTTGAGCTCAGTAACTAACAAACAAAACAGCATTTACTTTTGACAATCACTTGATATTCATTGGCTATCAGCAAATAACATACATTAACCCTGAAGCAGCTATAACCAAAAGTGATAAGCCTTTGCCACCAGTATAGAACCAAAGCTAGACTGTACATCTGTGCAGTCTGACCAGGTCTTATACTGTTGACAGATGTATTCTAATTTAAAAATCCCTCCAACTTCAAATGAATTGTTCAAATCTAAACCAAAAAATTCCGACAATCAGGGACTACCTTTGATTGAAAATTTAGGGAGAAGTCACTTCTCCCTTCTGGAAAAATAGGGAGAAGTTTTGAAATTTAGGGAGAAGTGATGCTTTCATGTAACATTCATCAAATCAAACTATAAAAAGAATTTTTTTTTCAATTTCATTTCACGAAATAATAAAAAACAATGTGCAACAAGTATACAGGCATATAAAAATATATATGGCGTATTAAATGAACAAGTGTGCATTTAAACATATACAGTGAAACCTGTCTAATCCCAACTCGTCCGGACCAGAAGAAAAGTTCGGATTAGAAAGGTTTCCAGATTAAAAGGTTTTTATCACATGTTTATTCATGTTATTGGCAGAATAGTTTAAGAAAAGAAAACAGTAATGTATTTAAAATTGCAATATAAATATTTTATTTTTGCTTCTTATCGTTCACTTTTATACATGTGAATAAAAAAAAAAAATAAATAAATCAATAAACAAATAAGCAAAAATGTTATGTCCTCAAGGGTAAGTTAACCTACGATGTCAAAACAGGAGGCTGATACATGATTAAATATTTATACCAGCATTTGTCAATTGTTGTTTACTCTTATCCGATTCATCGACTATCCGAATTCACTGACAGTTTCCATTAATTTCCATTACTTAATCACATGTTATTAAATTCATTACAAAAGATAAAAAGATATTTCTATTGCATTATATCAAAATATTTATTGAAGGGACGAAAAACAATCAATTAAGCAATTATAGTAGATACCAAGGCCATACTTTCACCCATTAATCAAGCAAAATTACTCTTATCCAGTTTGGTGTATGGTTACACCTGCAAGATGTGCGATTATTTGTTATTTTGAAATAGAACAAATAAAATTGGGTCTGGACAGTTCGTTCAGATAAGACAGGATTCCGGATAAGAAGAGCAATAGCAAGGCTCTACTGTACATGACCTAATTATATACTATTTCATTGAATCCTCAACAATATTTATCATAAGCATATTATAATCAAGCATAGCATACTTCTAAATTTTACATAGAAATGACAAAACAATCATTGGAACTCAACAACACATATTATCATGACCACATAGTAGTAAGGCAAAGCATACATGCACTTCTTGATTTTACATAGAAATGACAAAACAATCATTGGAACTCAACAACACATATTATCATGACCACATAGTAGTCAGGCAAAGCATACATGCACATCTAGATTTTACATAGAAATGACAAAACAATCATTGGAACTCAACAACACATATTATCATGAGCAC